ACGGCCCTCGGGGGGGGACCGGGGGTGCCATTTGCTCGCGTCGCGAGTGACATCTTTAACTTTCTAAATGGGATCTCGTCGCTCGGATTCAACGACTGCTGGGAAGGATAATCGCGAGCTACGAGTCCTCGCAAGATAGACGCACGGGTCAGGGATAAGGGTAAGAAATCGTGGGGGCGAAGACGGGACGAGAAAGAGGGAGAGATTTCAGCGTTTCGAGAGCGAGGAACAACAAAGTTTCTTAATGAAGAATAACGCTCCCACCAAAGGAGAGATATTTCCACTTAAACGAAGGCCTCCGTTAGTCGTCTCTTCTTTGCTTTCAGTCGACGGGAATTGCTCTCCATTCCTCCCTTAATCTCTCGTTGCTCCTCGCAGAACGTCGCGTTACGACTTCCCTCTATACCGATAGCGCCATTACACCCCGATCGACTTTCGCGGCATCTTACAAAAGAGACTCTGTATTCTCGTTCGATGGTTCGATAAAATCGATTCTGTCTTTTATGTACGAACGATCCTTTCGCGAAAACAATCAACTTTATTCCGTCATAGTACTCCAAGAAGCACCCTGCTCCTTCCAATTTTTTATTTCGTGCTAACTAAACTCTCCTAATACTATTACAAAACGTAAAATATATTGGACAGAGCCGAACACTTTTATTTTTGCTTACAAATTTTTTGGCAAAAAAAAAAATTTTCAAATTGTTCTAAAAAAATTATTTTCGGCTCCAGGGGTCAATTCCAATAATTTTTGGTGAATAGGCATATCCTCGAAATCCTACTCACTTTCGAGGAAAATATACATTGGACGTAGGGTCTGCTCCTATACCTCGTCTATGAAAAAATTCAGTTTCTTTGCTTTCTTATTTTGTTTCTATCAATGTGTGGTACACCATGCTATTTTCCTTTAGAATCCCCGTAAACAATTAGCCAGCTAGGCGAGCGACCGAACCCGAGTAGAAACATTTTTCGTTCCTCCGTCCGCAAGTTCCATTCAAATCGGACGCATAAAAAATCGTATACGGTCCTGCGAAACGGGACGAAGTTCGCCGCCATAGAGGGCCAAAAATTTTCCCCGGAAAATGAGCGACTCTATATTCTATTCGGCGCTTCCCTCCCCATCCCCCGGGCACTTAAGAAATTCCAGACTGCATAAAACTAAGAGAAACTCTTTGGACGTTGGAGCAGCGAAATTCCTCGAGCGAAAGTTTCCGCGTCGCGACGGTTCGCCCGAAATTGTTACGGATCCGCCATTGTGCCCGCGGAAGGGTTTATCTGGATTCAAAGCGGGGGTCCTATCGATCGTTCCCCGGGCATGCGACGCGTTTAATTTTCTTAATGATCGAGGCTGTCGGGGGTCTCGCGGCGGTAAGAGAGAGAGAGGTTTTGGACAGAAGCGTGGCTCCGTACGACGTCGTCAAAGAGGCTACGCCGATAGCGTCAGATCGCGTGATTCCGTTCGTGCTTCTCACGCGATGCCCATTTCCTCCTATCGACCTTCCATCTCCTCGGGCCGACTCGCACCGGCGTTGGAATCTTTCGATCTTGTGGGATCTGGGTCGCTCGACGCTCTCTGTACCCTATCCCGACCTATCCAATTCAGGTAAACGGCGCCCAATTGTCTCGACGGGGGCGAGCGTAGGCGCGGAAACACGTGAGCCACCCCCCCTCGATGATACCCGGGGGCTGGCAGCCACGACGATTATCGAAGAACTCGAATGGCCGACGCGTGAGTGGCCTGCGGAATCCCCCGTAGCCGGACGACTGCGTAATTCCGCTGTCCGTTCTAAATTACGAGGGAACGTTACAGCGGGGGTGGGTCGTCGATTTTTCACTCACGGCGCACGTCTCGCCGTTACCCGGTTAAGTGTCCCGCGTTCCCTTATCTGGCGTTAATAAAACGATAACGGGATAATTCGGTCGACCCGCTCCGGGACGTTGAATACCAATGCGACTCGGTAACAGTGAAATCTCAGGACCCGCCTAGGAGATTGTTTCGACTTTAATCATGGAGGGATGTTTCAGAATTTCATTGCCGTGGGACGATTAGCTTAACCAGGGGGGAACGATTCGGACTGATAGAGATACGCCCGGTGTACGTTCGCGAATTAATTCCGGGGGTCCTTTCGTGGTAAACGCTTTTAAACCAACCCGAGAAATTAGGTTGATTTGTCAGTCCTGTACAGAGTCGAAATTCTCTGCGCGATCGCGAAGAACTGATACAGGATATCAAGTCCTACGTTGCAACCCTTGAACTATTATATTTTATCAATGAAAATGAAACGAGATACAATAACGAATAATTAATTAGTGAAACGAGAAACAGAAAAAAAGGGAACAGGAGTATTGACGATAATATCTGAAAGGGTAATGAGATTCTGGCCGAGGGAAAGTATCCTGTAATGGAAGATTGATAGACGCAGGACCGTCGCGAGGAATCTGATCATTATAATTAGTTTAGGAGAGGCCGATAAAGGCTCCCCCGGCCGAATGAAACATTAACGAGACTGCATCTGGCCAATGTTCCAATCAAGTGTGATTGTTCGAAATTGTGAGTGGTCGAGGACCCCGGCGTTTGGCACACAACGCGGATCGATATCCATGTTTCGAGGTCGACCACCACCGGTGGATAGGAATACCATTGCCGGTATTGTACCGTGAGGCCAACCCTCCCGTGTCCCTTCTTTTCGAGGGTGCAGCCTGTGCGGGCGCACGACAGACACAGATTATCGGTACACACAATGCGGAATTGATCCCTGAGGCATGCCTCTACGTAAAACTTTCGGAGATGAAAATGCTCCGGATTGATTGCTCGCTCGTGCTTCACGTGGGAACGTTCGGGCTGCGTCACGTGAACAAACCGAACGCGTTTCGTCGGCATATTTATTAAACGCTGGCGGAGGGTATCTAGTACCAAGGTGTTCCCAAGTTCTTAGGGTTACTTGTTCCCTTCGAAATAGAGAACAGGGTGGAAGCTCGTATCATGTTTAAGCAAGATTTAATCGTTTGCAATAATCTCTTTGCACGGGAACTCCAAACTGGCCAGCTTTGGGACAAACTATTCTCATTAGCCTCGCGTTTGTAATATTTGATCCGTTCTCGAGACAGTGTATACTTGAATTATTTTTAGCAACGATTGAAACGCAAGTTTCGTTAGAGTGCGCGCAGATTTCATACGCGATTTCATCGCGAAAGCTGCGCGCACGGGGCTAGCACTAATTTTCCAGCCGCCGTACAAAACCAAGCGTACACTATTTTGTGCTTGGCACCGCGCCAGGGACCAGGTAAATACCACGTATCGCGAGGATAACGTCGTTCCGTTTCTGGATAGGTGAATCGCGAATGGTTCCAGTCGGTCATCGGTTAATACGAAATCTAACAACCTCCACTTGATATCCTATTTTAATCTAATGACTGAGTATTAACAATGGGCAAATCGTGCCAGGGATAATATTAACCCTTAAGTGGAAATCAACTTTCCTTTAAAGTATTTAGAACCTTTATATATATTATGTAATGTTAGTTTAAACTTGTAAAGTCCTAAAAACTTTGTCCTCTGTTTGATTAACGAGACCTATTCGATTGCTTGAATAGTAGTCGCACTTTTGAGTATTTATATATAAAATTACAGACAAAACTCTTCTAAGCCCCGATCGCTGGGCACGCCGAGTTAATTGTGAGTCTGCTTGTCTTTCCGGCGATCGATTCTTTCGCGTGTCGAGTTTGAGCACAGGGAGCAATCGGATCGCGGATTAATTAATTTCGGCTCGATAACGAGGTAGTATTGAGAAGCGAGTGTTGACTTTCGAGGATCGCGGGGGGGGGTTGAAGGATAGATTCGGTCGGTGCGCCTATCTAATTTCACCTCGTCGATATAATTCGATCGCGATAAATTCCACGCGAACGACTACGAGGGAAATATTACTCCAGGCAGGCGTGGCGGCCGCCCTTCGAATGCGATTTATTCGATTCCGTGTTATTCGCCACTCTATTACGACGCCCCGCTAATCAACTTACGCCGATTTCGTTTTAGTCGCCCTCCCACGACCAGAAACGAAGGTAAAACCGGAAGGGGGGTTGGGGGGGAGGCGTCAGAGGCTTAACCTGAAAGCAGGAGTTCGTCGATAACGGGACACGGGTTAACGCAATGTACACGGGAACGCTTTTCCCTCTTTCGAAACACTGCAATATTCGACTAGCCGTCGCGGAGGATATTGCGAAAATAAAAGGGTTAAATTAAAAATTCTCGGTCGAGTGCTCCGTCCTTCGACTCGAGAATATTTCTACGGAATTTGTACGCGAAAGCACGAAGAGAGCCACGACCGTACCCATACCCGAAGGCTTCGACTTTTATAGCAACCAGGGCATACAAGGCGGGGGCTTTGTGCCTCCGTAAGCCGTCTTTATCGATATTTTTCGATAACAAAAGTGAACGACCCGACCGAACCGTGATTTCCCATCCGACATAGGCACGTCCGAACTCGATACCCGTACGGGTATATTCTCATGGGCACCACGATGGCCAGAATCGGGCAAATTTCATTATTTTAATCCTTTTAAACGTTAAATTCGAGCGAGTCTGTCATTTTTATTTGTTATTCGAAGATAACAAACATGATAGGTAACATTCTCTGTAGGCGTCACGAAGGCGATACTAGTGTAGTGTATTTCTTGCACTCGCCAGCAGAGGGCTACGGGGAACCTGTACCTCTCTCGCAAGTACTCGATTGACTATTAAATATGCTTCCTACAATGACAAGCGCCTCGCTAGTACTTTGTGCCACATTCTGTGTAGGATTTTTCTTCTGAGAACCTTACAACATAGGTATAGAACAGAGTAAATACGTATTTGATCCATTTGGTCCATTTGGTAACTCCATCTAAGGTTCAGACTTGGAAGCTAGGCGTACCAAGACAAGTACAAGTCGTACAACAAAGAATCCTTGCTCGACCCTATTTACGAGTACAATTTGTCTGACATTTTGCTTTGTACTTTGCAGAACGACACGATGAGAGTGGTGTGGCAGTACCACGTGGAGGAGCCAGTGTCTGTGACCGGAAGGCTGCCAGAGCATGGGGCCGTACGGGGATCGAGGCCTCTGTATCTGGTGCAGGGTGGTGCTCAGACGAAGCAAAGCACCCGCAACCAAGAAGCCGAGGAGTCGCTTAAAACGTGGGACATATTCAACCAGCAGGTCGGTATCGAAAGTCATTTATCCACGTCCTCTCGCGGCTCCCAGACGATCAATTACCGCCGCGCTGTATTTTATCCTTATGCAACGAACCACGTCGACCGGGGCCGTAACCCGTTCGACGGCCGATGATGCGCGAAACCTGGCGGGGGGATCGCGTGGGCGGAAAATTATGGTGTAATACGAGCCATTGCGTGGAGAATATCCCATAATATGATTATACCGCGAGGAGGAAGGATACGCCGCGTCCCGGCGTGTTGTCTTACGTATGCATAATGATACACCCTGGCCGTAGGTGGTAATAATGTAATGGATAGGTGTTCGCCGGATTTTCGGTGTTAGGGAAATTAACGCGGGGTGGATCGTTCGCGAGAAACGAGCCGGATATTTTGGTGCACGACGATAACAACTTGGGGTACTCTCCGCGCTGTAGATTTTTTATCGTTCAGGGAATTTTATCTTCGTTGGTAGATTCTACACTAGCAAATATACTGTCATTATGATCTGTATTCCAAGGATCTGTCATTGGGAAGTTTGGTAATTCGGTGACTATAAATCGCTGCCACGATTGGGTTTAAAAAAATATTTTCGAGAGAGCTCAGATCCGGTAGCCAAAAGGGAGTTTTACGAAATTGACTTGGCAGTCAACATATTTAAACGAACCTTTCATCCACGTCTCGAGCCCACCTTGCAGCGTCCATATGCCATACCATGCATCGTATCGATTCCAACAATTCCATCCAGCGATGACTGGTGCCAAAAAGGAAGATACCACGTTCGCACAAAGAACGCCTAGTGGAATCGGAGAGCATCCACTGCTTTCATGCAGACCCTAACGCAATCTCGCCACATGGCCGCTAATTTCGTTGGCCGGTCGCTGCCCGACTCTGTCCGCAATCTGTTCGAGCAAAGGGGGCCATTATTCGTCCGTTCGAAGGCGGCCGAATTTTTGTTGCTCCGTCCAAACAGTCCATTCACGCTTCCGTTTCGCCAAAAAGAAACCGACCACGGAATTCCCCAACGTCTGATCCAATTAATCGTTGATCTATTCCCTAAACCGATCATTGGGCACGAGTAAATAGTCCATTCACGCTTCTATCTCCTAAACTGATCATTGGGTAGCGTAATTCTTCTTTCAACTCGGTAAATGTATTAAAAAATGCACGGTCCCGCGATCCGCTGCGAGCTGAATTTCACGGGAAAATCGCCAGTTTCCCCGGTTACCTGATACGATCCGCACATCGACAGTCAACTTGTTTTATCCGAGCGTATTATAGAGCATCGATTAAGTACCGAATATCTAGTTTCATCTTCGACGGTGGACCGGGGTTTATTCGAAGAATTTGATAATTACATATTTTGGCCACGTTCCGTGGATTTTGTTCCAGCGTCGGGGCCGGGTGGGATGGAACTCTGTTCGCGCGCGAGATGAATGTTCGAACGCGTTTAACGTTCAGGCCGGCGCGAGTGGATTTTTATCGGATGCAAGCCGCGGAGCATTGTGCGCCGAATTTATGACGGCATAAATCTTAACCGGGTCACATCCGGCAAAAACTATTCGTTCATTAGCGTCGCCGGGTCATAGATTATGGGTCGACGCTATCGCCGGGGATCGGACAATGCTAATTCCACGGACTGCCGGGCTTGCTTATAGTTTATATCGACTGAGGGGGGGAAAGGGGGGGACGGGGGGGGAACGGTTATGCAGTGGATTTACGCGATTCGTACCGCCCGGGTAGAGATCGATCATTTCGCGAACAGAAAAAGAGAGGACGGGGTTGGAGTACTCGACTTCTGGTTGGCAATATTTTCCGCGGGCTGTTGTAAGGAAAAGCTCGGTTCGATGAGCCGGACGTAAATGGAGTCGTAAAAACGACGCAATTCGTAAATACAGAAATAAGGAACGAGCACAGGGACGCGTTACACGTACACGTGCACGAAAAATCGGTACTGCACGGACGACTTCCGTTCGAGCGTCTTCCACGTTTTAGTGCTCCCCGTAAAAACCGTGCGTTTTCAAAGGAACGCTTTATTCACGGTTTCTAAAGTTTTCCACGGGCTTTCTTTTTCTCTTTATATTATTACTAATTACACGTAAAAAGGAACGAAGAATCGATGTTGAAAAAATTACAGAAGCATCCCACGCTATTGTTGATCTTATATGTGTGTACACATATGTTTTGTACCGCTGATAAATTGGCGCATCGATATTTTCGAATAATTCAATCGAGCGACGCGTGTCGTGTAATGGAAGCGACGGGCGAACGGAAAGGGTGCATTATCAGGAAACCGGGAAACGAAATAATAAATTGGAACTGCGGGGGCGGACGGGGGGAGGGGGGCGGGGGGCGCCGTTGAAACCGAACGACGCTAATTTCATCAGCTCTGTTTACAATTTATATCGAATGGAATCGGCCGGGGCGGGCTCGTTTCGGTGCTCATCACGCTGTAACAAATTACCGCTTCTCCGAACTGGAAAGAAATTACCCGTTCGCCCGGCAAATGAAACGATGCCGCGTCTCTTTCGCCCTTTGCTTCGATACCCCGCCGCCATGGAATTGTTTGTACTCGGTCGAGTAATAAGTTCATTCGGTTTTCGAGGACCGTACACTTTTCCAGATACCTCGTCTGCGAATTCCTGCGAGCGGATCGGGTCGCGGGACCGCGGAGAGCACTTTACGCGACTTCGTCCTTTATTATCTCCGACAGTTCGATTCCGAAAATTTTTATTAAACGACTAGACGATTCAACCGAGATCCCAGATCTTGTACGGTCGAATTTAAATTTTTATCAAGTTACGACGGTTCCATTTTTCGAATTTTACTACGAGAAGCACCCCTGTTCGAGGGTTGTCACCCAGGGGGGGGGGGGCGGACAGCGAGGACATTAAAGTTAGCAGCGCGTCGCTTATCTCGGCCTGGTCTCTCGTCCGTTCTTCTTAGTTCTTTCTTGCCCGAATGCTACTTGTTCTTCGTTAACTACGTACGCGGAAGTTCCGCGGCGGTCGAATAACTTTTGTATCGCGTCCGCGATGAATATGAATGTCTGCGGGCACAAAGAGACGCCAGCTTGTTAGAACGGGTTTGCATTCATTCGGCTTCCCTTTTCCAGGCAACGATACTTTTTCCCCGCGGACCATTCTCGCGACGAATCGAAAGCGAAACTTCGCCGACGAGAGCCGAACTCGCCCGCGGCTGACTCCAAGGCTGAGCGTCTTCCTCGCCCCCGGGTCTCTGTCCTTATTATTTCCAGATGTTCGTGTTTTCTGTCCAACGCTATAACAACTAGTGGCACGCTTAAAAATTCATCGATAAACTCGAAACGCAACGTCCCAGAAATTTAATTATCCAAATTCGAAACTAACATTTCGTGTAACTGAATCGTACAGTAGGAATTCATCGATCTTTTCGCTATTCGTTTGTTCATTCGTACAGGAAATCCAATTAATCGAGCACCCGGGTAAAATTTAATTCCGATAAAGTCCACCTTGTCAACTATAATTTTATTTTCGGTTATTGTTCCCGCATTGTTTCGACATGCCTGTACCGTATTAACGCCTAATTCACGGTACTTTATCGTAGAAAATTGAGAGTGGCACCTCCAGTTTAAAATGTATTAAATTATACTCGTCCGTGACGTTTCTCTTGTCTTATTTCAAAAAATCAATACAGCCACCCAGTTCTTTCGAACGCGACGCACTAGCCGCGGCGCTTATAATCTCGAATACAGCCATCGGGAGCTGAAATACGACGTGCACGCGACGCTGTATCTCGGCGACAGCCCTTTTTCACTTCGACGATCCGAGTTCCTCCTTCGAGACGCGACTAGATTCGAGCTACGAAACGGATCGCGACGCGTTATTAGCTATTTATGCGAAAGCGCGAGCAAAAAGACGACGCCGTGGCCGGGAAACGGGAAGGAACGAAATATGAAGTACCTACGCGGGTCGACCGGTATAAACCGCGTTTTTATGTGGTCCCTGCTTCAAAAGAAGCCTGCCATTTGAACGCATAGCACGCGAAACACGGCATACCCGGAGGATAATTATCGTCTCCTCTCATTCCAAGAAACGAGACACGGTCGGAGGAGAAAAGAAAAACGACCGAGTGTGAGACGCGCCGTGAATCGCTCGCATGACAACGTTTGTTCGCGCTAAATTCACGGAGACGTGGCCCTTTCTAATCCTTGCAACTTTTAATATCCACCAATTTCGGCACCCATGTTGTTAAAATAATTTCGGAAGAATTCGTTTATCTACAGGACGCGTAGGGTACTTGTTCAATATTTCAACTATACTGTTTTCAGCGCACTGTCGAAAATTAAGTCGTAAGGCAAAGGGATCAGCTCGAATATGGCCATCAATTTCTGCATTTTAATTCTCCCTGCGAAGAACTGTCCAATGCTTCTTGGAAATCGGTAATTGGGGACCGTCAAACGCGATATGCATCTCCTCGAGCGGTGCTAGTGTACGAGCATCTGTCCGCAAAGTGATTTTTAATTTACTCCCGTCGAGTTTGTTTGCCTCCCCAATTGGGAGAGATTATAATTCTGTAGAAACTCGTTATATCCTCCAGGGAAGTCGCAAACACGCAGATTTTGCATTTTATATTATCAGTTCCGTTGTTAATAAATAATCGAAGGTTTTTCGAGAAATGGTCGCGTGAGGAGAGTCCCTTTGATGCGGACTCGCGGCTCGGGAGCCATAGAGAATCGTAAACGCAGCTCCGAAGCCTAAATCTCAGTTTCGCCTGTGGGCGTTCAGCATATTCGACCGCAAAACAATAAACGCAGTCGTCCTTCTCGGTAATCTTGACATCGATAATTTCGCAGAAGCGCGTGGGAGAATCCGGCGGCGCATTGGAGCTTAGGGCAGCCGAGGAGTATGGCCGCGAAAAAAGAATTGCAATTTTCTCCCGGGACGCTGGTTCGGTCGCGCACAGACCCCGCGGCTGCAACTCGAACCATCCTTTCCCTCCGCGTTTCTCTTTTTTCTTCCTTTTCTTTTTCCCCTATATATCCGACGCGATCTTCGACGTCAAAATAAACACGGTCCCGGGATCGATGCTCGGGGATTTTTATTTGATCGTTAAAACGCCCGCGATCACGATGGATCCTTCCAATCGACGCTCGATTCCTCGGATGATGAAGCACGGAAGGCGTAGATTAAATTTTTCAATAGCACGGCTCCTCTCCCGGAGCAGATGTCGATTCCTTTCGCGAATCTATGCGAAATATTCAATATTCCGTGGAACATAATAGCTTAGAAATAAATATAACGGGCTCCTTTAATCGACGTTCCAGGAATACCTGTTACTCATTTACCCAATTTAAATTCTATTCTTTTTTTTCTTTTTTGCCGCGTTGGAACCAGCGACCCTCTCCGCGTGAATTTGTTTTTAGCGAGAAATTTAGTATTCAGGAGCTCCTCCCGGTGACTCTACGAGCCCCCGGCCCGAAGAATAAGTTAACGCGAGATGATAAAGTAACTCTAAAGCTCTTAGCCCGCGGTTGAGGAAACGGCAACAAGAAATAAGTGGAACAAGCAACGGGCGATGAGCGACTTGCGCGGGCGCGGACGTACTTCTTATTCTATTAGACGTGTCGGAAAACTTTGAATACAATCATGCATAATGAAATGAGGCGCGCGGGAAGCACGCGGGCGCCGGGAATGCACGGCGCGCATTCGCGACGAAGTGTATAATGTTACTTTGGCAATTTGCTGTTCGACGGTTGTCGGGCCGCGTCTCAAACGCCGCGTTATACATAATTTATTTACACTTAGCTTCCTGAAAACTCTTATTTGGCAAACGACGACGTTACGGGAACGCGGGGAATTGAAAAGCATTGACGTTCGCTCGCGCCACGGTAATTCGTAAATTGACTTTCAGATCGATCCCCGTCGATCGGGTCAAGCGGTTCGGGTAAAAAATAAATCTTAACACGCGACACGCTGCATCCAGACGTGATTCGTTTGCCAAGCAAACGTCGGATTTGGATTACTCGGCAAATTTGCTTCGAGTGACTTTAATAAATAGTATTGGACAAAGGAAACGAGCAATTTCGTGCATTTGCATGAGATTCGAGCACGGTTGTTTACATCGAATTTGTTTTAAAATTATGTTTATAAAATAAAAGGGGATCGAAATACGAGTCGAACGGATTAACGATGCGTCGAATTGCATTAATTTTTGTTCGAACGACGCACGCGACGACAATGGAAAACAGAGAGAGGAGTTTGGGAACTAGTTCGTAGTCGCGGAGTTTTCAAAAACAGCCGTAGTTCCGCGCGTTCTGTTCCCCGGATTAACTTCGTCACGCGAAATGTCCGGATACGGGGAACTCGGTCGAAGACAGTTGCAATTAGAAAAACAGTTTGAAGTCTGGCGTTTCGGCGATGGGAACCGTGTACGCCTCTAAATACCACGTTACTCCATTAACGGGTATAGACAGATCCTGCCGTTTCAGCCGGTTTCGTGCATCGTCGGATGAGTTCCACGGTCGCATTGTACGAGGGGCTTGTACAGGACCGTTAACATTCGAGAAGTTTTGAGAAAGCATTAACGAAATTCCACGCGCGTGTACGGCCAACAGCATCCACCCTCCTCCACCCCCGATTCGTTTCATCCCCTAAATTACGATAGTCCCCCCGGTATCCATTAGTTGTACTCTGTTTTAATATAAATAGACGTATTTAAAGAGGAACGTATTCAATCTTTTCTTCGTGAAGTTTCAAATGAAAATAATCGCATCTACTATCGATTCCATTTTAATCGGTACACCGTTGTCTTCTAAGAACGATGACGGAGCGTAATGTCTTTGTTGCTCGTAAACCAACGTTGACAAGACACGCAGGCTCTATGTAGGTACGGAACAATAATCCCAGCTAGCTAATTTGTAATTCAGCGTTAGACTACTGGCGCACCAACGATGATTAACGCGCTCTCGAGCTGAACCGTGTACGCGCGTTCGCGCGAACGTATTTTCTCGTTTCGAATAATTTGTTTCGACGCGCGAGACTCGCGACAAACTCTCCGTGCCAATTTCTTTCGAATTAAGTACCTATAATCGTTGGGATCTTTCGTTAACAGATTGGTGGTGAATTATTTTGCAGGTTTCTTTGTCAGACATAAAGGACCCGTTGCTCCGGCGCCGCTTCGTCAAGATACCAAACGTCGATCGCAAGCAACACGTCGTCAAGGTAAGTTTCCCCAGCTATAACCTACTTACTCGTAAACCCCTCCCACCGCGCCCACCCTCACGCATCCGTGCCATCTAAACTTGATTAAACCGAGAACGTAGATACAGATTCAACGTCGGTGCGGGAACAGTGGAGTTCCAAGGATCTCGCATGGAAATTCTCGCGAGTTACTTCGGGGCTTCGGAGCAATCATTTCTTGGCGCGGTTTGCTCTTGACGTTTGCGAGGCTCGATTACCGTAAACGGTTCGCAAGGCTGTTCGAAACGACGATTCGACGGTTTGACGCGACTTCCGCCTTAATGGGCCATCCCATTATTTTTACGCGTGTTCGAGGCGTTCCGAAATAGATTCCCGGGAGTTTATGTGAAATCGATCCGTTCGGAAGTCGTTCGAATCGGAATCGGGAATTTCTTGTCCAACTTTTCTTTATTCCGATGCCCGTAGCACTTTGTTCCCTCGAACATTCCGCAAAATATACTTGAATTTTCCATTTTCTGAAATCACCGCCAACGTTTCTGTTCGAACCGCGACCAGTCGACGGGACGAAGCAAAAATTAACGTATAAATCGATATTTTCCATCCACCGGTGATTTACGATCGCGATAAAGCCGGAATAACTTTCTCACTGTACACATTCGATACAGTCGGTTTCTATCTACTATCGAACAGCATCTCGAGCTCGGATCGAACGTGACCACGTTACGTGACGCGATTGCATTCTCCTCTGACGAATGCGCGAGGAAAGACCGATTAGCTCGCAGATTCGGTTAAACTCGCCGTTCGAAAATCCACTATCGTTGCCTGTTAATCAGAACAAGCGTTTAAAATTGCTCGACTCGACGAGATATCGATTCGTCCAAGGATCTCCGATACGCGATGAATTAAGTTCTTACAAGCCCGATGAGATTGCACGTACCCGGCTCCTTTCGCGTTTCACGTGTGTTGTGACGTTTCTTTTTCCAGTACGAGCCGGTGATACAACCCGGAAATCACAAATACTTGCATCACATGACGCTGTACGAGTGCCGCGGAGATCCGGCGGAATTGGAAGCTATCGTGAATACGTACGCCAGTGTTTCCAATCTGTTGTCTCTTCAGTGCAACACGATCGCGGCTATCTGGAGTGTGGGCTCTGAGGTATGCTACGTGACACATTTAAATGTAAATGAAGAATTAAATAAATGTCAGTCCCGAGCGGGACCGGCGCACGCCGCCCGGGAATTCCGAAAAACCTGGTCAAAATGCTAATCTCGCCGTCTCGTATTTATTTCTATCCGAGGCTCTCGATCTAAGGAACGCGACTGCAATACGGTATGCGGAAATACAAATTAATCGCGGAAGACTCGAACGCATTTCACGTTTCATATTCGAGGTACAACAAAATATTTGTTCTATCGACGATTCGTAATTCGAATTCATTTCCTAGACGAGCAGATCGCCGTGAGAAATTAACGAACGAGATTCTCGTACGGGGCGAATATTTCGAGTCGAGTCCGTTTTGAAAAACAACATTTTTCCGGTGTATTTTCTGCCGGTGGCGTGTAAAAATATTTCGCGGGTGTAATTAAATCGCGGTGGGACGTCTCGTGTGAAATTGCCGGGCCGCCCATCGCGATCAATCGGATCTTCGCAGGACGTTCGTGTTTCCACGCGACCGCGAAGAAACGGGTTTCTGCGGTGGCCTTCGTCTCCCATTGGTATGCATTACATAAAACCCAGAATTACCGCGAGCCACCCGACGTTCCCGTGTCGCTTGTTCCACGATGACGTCAGATTAACATTCGCGGACAGTAATTTATCTTCGCGTAATTACTCGCGTAACTGATTCGAATCTCGACCGTATCTCGAATATGATTTATGCCCTCAATTACGCCCGTGTCCTGATTATTATATTTTAAACGACAACGTGTTTCGATCGTAATAATAGCCACGCTTCGCAAACGAACTTTGACGGCGACAATTTTCTCGAATATCATTTCGCAATTCGTGTGCCTCGATTGGCCGTAATTGGAGTTACAGCAACGAACGATTCGAGATTGGCATTTTACTCAAAACTTCAGGATGTTTATTTAAAAATAAAGGAGCGAGCAAATTTCCCACGCGCAACGTATCCACTGCGAGATACGATCACGTGCCACGCACGAGCATCGTTTTAAACATTAGCGCTTGGGGTGAAGAAATCGGTCGACGGCCTGAATAGCTCAATTGACGGGAACGATCGTTCAGCAAATGAAAGATCTCGGTTGCAAACTTCGCGTTAGCGATTCACGAGTGGACCAATTCTTTTTGTAACGAGTAGAGGCACTTGGCTCTCCGAACAGGCTCGAAGTTTATTTGAAAACAAGCGTAGTCTGGATGTTAACTGGTGGAAATTTGTTCTGCGTCAGTTTCTTTCGAACTTCGTTCGGAATAACCCTTGCAACGGGCGATTTATCAAACTCAGGAAACGTTTGATCAATCGTACGAGCGGGTGTGTTTCTCGGTCCGTGTTGGACCTCCCATATAATCGAGCACCGGTTGTTTTCTTTCACCAGGGCTTCAATTACCCGCCGGAGGCCGGATCGCCGATAGATCCTCACTACGGGCCGCATTACTACATGCTGGAGACACACTACACGAATCCGCAGATGGACTTGTTCATAAGCGACAGCTCCGGCCTGCGTCTGTATTATACGGATCGGTTGCGCATTCACGACGCAGGCATTCTGAGCATTGGCATCGACCCGAACTGGAGGCACATCATCCCGCCAGGTCAGCCAGAAGTGATCTCCGAAGGTCATTGCATCTCGGACTGTACCCGGGAGACCATTCCCAACAGCGGCATCAACATATTCGCCGTCACCATGCATACTCATCAACTCGGTAGGAAGGTCCGATTGCGTCAGATAAGGCACAAAGAGGAACTGCCACCCATTGCGTCTGACACCAATTACGATCCTAGCTATCAGGAGTATCGGAAGCTGCAGAAGCCCGCCAGGGTCAATCCGGTAAGTGCTGGCCGTGGTTTCGTGCGCGTCGTGTCTCTGCATTTCGTGGCATGCTAATTCGATCAGCGAATTGGAGAAACTAAGCGACAAGGAATTCATTTGTACATGTCCACTGGGCCGTTCGAGAGATTAGCCGGCAAATTACTAGATTTCCTCGATCCGTTTATCATCAAATTATCGTTCCCCCCGAAACTCGTATTTTTTCTTGAAACGTCTCCGAGTACTTTTTTTACTTTTTAATTTAAAGTTACTTGGAAGTATCTCGTTGTTTCTCGTTCTCTGGCCTCTCGTTGATCGTGGACGTTTTGTTTATGGTTCCAGGGCGATTATTTGATAGCGGAGTGCACATACTCGTCGGAATCCCGGCATACAATGACGCTGGGCGGTCAGGCGACGAGGGAGGAGACGTGCTTGGTGTCCAGTCTTTATTATCCGCGCATCGAACTGTCCCTCTGCTACTCCCTGCCCTCGTTACGTACCGTTCTGGAGAGTTTGGGGATCCAGAAGCTGACACCGTGAGTATTCGACAAAACGTTTTCGCAATTTTCGATCCCATCGGGGGTCATCTTACGCGAAACCATCCACGTTTGATATTAATTTACACTGCACACGCTGATACCACGCTAATGATCAACCCGCGTCTCTATACACAAAGCGACCAGACGTACGCTCCTTTTGCTCTGATTACTTTAAATTGGCAATTAGGGACGGGGAATGGCCCGTGCGTCACGACCGCACGACCTGTCGTTAGTTCAACGAGCGCCGGTTATATTGCGCCAGACGCATCGTTCATTGCATTACGTAATGTTACGTGTGTCACGAAGACGCTTCCTGCGACGTGTCACGAACTTTAATGTAACAAGCGTCCTGTTTCGCTAAACACACTCTACGCTACATTGAATACCTAAATTACTGTTATTAGTACCACTAATATCGGCAGGTCGTTCGCTAGTTGGGTCGTTAACTCCGTCAGGGATTATTGTCGTCTTTGCGTGACATCGGGACGAGATGGCCGCATCGGCTGAACTTGCCCACTTAGTAGATTATTACGGGCCAAACGCCGGTGGTACGAACGTTGCAAAAATATTAAAACCTTAATTAGAATTACGCCAACAGTTGCCCCTTCTCTCCGCACGTTAGATGCTTCTTCGTTAAAAATGCAGTAACTCGCGAAAATATTCGAACGCTTCTTTTCTCTCATTTTACGTGGTCACGGAAAAACATTATGAATATTCTTGGAATTTCTACATATTCTGCGTGAAACTTCAGGGGAATCATTTATGGTCAAGCATTGTATTTTCGGTAAAGAATTTTTTTTCTCAAAACTACGTAGGATTTCGGGGGTATGTCTGTTCACCAAAAATGAGTGGAATTGACCCCAGCAACCGAAAATAATTTTTACAGAACAATTTGAAATTTTTGAAATCTACCCCCTGTCGATTTTTCTTAAAAATTTTTAATAATTTTGTGTGACGCCCTACAGAAAAATTGTCTAATATTTTTTTGTAGGTACCCATGAGCTCCGTTTCAGAAAACAGATTCATTGAAATATATTCACTGTAGTAGGAGTTCTGGCTGTTTAAAAATTAGACCATTTCTATGGAGTTTTTCACACTTTACGGGGTTAAGGAACAACTTATAGAACATTTTCTGAATTTCAAAATATTCTACACTAAAATACGCGTTGTTTGCCGTTTTGAACATTAAAATCGTCCAATCCGTTCGGGAGTTATGATTTTTTAAAGATTTATATGAAATTTCAGGGGAACAAATCAACGGTATGGTCAGACAGTGTATTTTCGGTAATGAATTTTTTTCTCGAAAGTGCGTAGGATTTCGGGGATATGTCTATCGACCAAAAATGATTCCAATGGACCCCCGCAACCGATAATAATTTTTACGGAACGATTTTAAATTTTTTAATTTCGCCACGAAAAGACGCTGTATTTCGCGATGATTTTTCACAGTTTCGACGCTTGAAATTTCGTAACGAGTATGCAGGTTCGCGAACGAGGGTTCACGCGGGGTGTTCGTTTGTTTGCAGGGGCGTGACGCCGGTGACGATTCAAAAACCGGCGAACCTGGCCAACATGACGCTGGAGAATCGTCTGTTGAGCTACGACTGGAGCACCAATTTCCAAACCTTCCAGCGAGTGACACGAAGAGGCACGTTCAAGCCGCTGTGCTCGACCAACAAGGGACCGCTGAAGGACACGGAGAACCTGGAGGTGCCCTATCCGACGATCCTGGCGCCGTTCGAGGAGCCCAGCGTGCCCTGCTCGAAGAAACCCCTCAGGAACAACCTGTCGATATTGCTCAGCGAGGACGAGGACATCGGGGCGCCGATGGATCCTGACAGCGACGAGACAAACGCCGTAGAACGGGGACAATTGGTGCGCAGCAAAGTGTCCCGGAGCAGCGACGGTCCCACGGCCGGAAGTTCCTCCGCCAGGCCGGTTTCCGTGGCGCTGATGCTCGCCGTGGCGACGGTGGTCGTCGGCGCGGCGTTCAGGTGAACGCTGGCACGTCGTCTCGACGCCGATCGACCGACGAATCGGTCGACACTGTTTATCTAGGACGGCCGTTTTATCGAGATGCATGTAAGTACGCGTCAGTGTACACTCTGACGCGTCGCTTAGGGTAAATAACTGTTGTCGTTCGTCGGTCGTTGAACGAGGACGGGTTTCGAGCGTCGTGCAAATGTTTCTTTTCGGTCACGAACTGATCACGATTCGTCGATATCCGCGGCGCGATGAAACGCGACGAGCCGGGCGTGTTATTCACGGTTTCGAATGGAATTCGATTTGCCAAAACGTACTTTCGTCCGGCGAGATCGAGATCGAGGCCGTGCTCGTTCGACGATCGAGACCACCCCTTTTCGCGATCTCTGTTCGTGCACTATTGTTATGATGTATCGCGTGTGCCCGCACAGGACGGTCGTTGGATATCTTTCGGTTCCGAACGCCCGAGTCGGGAGGAGGTTTCTTTTTTTGTTTTAGATCGGTCTAATTTCACTAGCGGACATCGGCGAACGAAACTGTACGGAACAATAAATGTATAAATATAGCTATCGATGTACTAGCAGGAATGGACGACGCGAATTCGATTTACAAGATTCGTTCCCTTCGTTCGAAACGGAGGCGATTAATAGAATTAAGCGGGGAAGGGAACGATCTTGGATGGAATTCTGATTTGGTATCGACGATGCTGGAGCATTTTTTTACAGCTCCTTGGAACAGAAACGTCGATACGAGGATCGCAATTGCAGAGGCCCTTTCGTTACTTTCTTCTGTGTACACATATCCAATCGACGCGTATCACGTCGCGCTAAGTATAATACGCAGGATCGACGACGAAAGAGTACGTACGTTTGTTTAAATCTTAGTTAAGCTTGCTCGCGTTCTCCACGGCCACAGAGAAGGAACAAGAAGACACAAGTTTCTAGTCCATTTAGGCGAGCAACGGGTCGTGGCTTCGAACTCGCTCGTCGTTCTATAAGATAAGAACAGCTCGCGTCGGAGCTATTCGGTGCTTGGCCTCTTCTTTTTTTAGCAGTTAACGATCTCGAACGAAAGATATCCACGGTACGATGACGCGGTATCCTGTCGATCGAGTGGAATTATTATATTTTCGAGACTTCGGGCTCGCGAGAATTTATATTGTTGGCTGTTTATTTCTCGGCACGGGGACAGGGCGAAAAACGTCGACGGATTCGATCTCTTTCGCTTCAGATTAAAATCCCATCGTTTTCAGCAAGGGACGAGAAACGCTTTTCCTAATAAAATATTTACACGCGATTCTCAGGAACGATCGAACGATTGCTGATCAAAATTGAACTATCGATCGATTCCGAGGATCGATTGCTTTCGGATGGTTCAAATTAAATCTCGAATCTTCTAGTTTGAAAAGGGCAACGCGTTTCGTTCGGTCCCCGGCCAAGTCTGTATATTCTGTTACTATTAGAACTACGGATAGGTGCGTTTTTTAACGGAGACCATGTAAACGTTGGTTGATTCCCACGAAGACGTCCAGTCGATTCCGGGCGATACAATATCGCAATGGTTGACATCGTGTCGCTTGACCAACGTTTGTATGCGCGCAACCCCCGGCGGTCCTTTGTAATATTCTGTACAGTTTATTAAGTATAATGTTGTTCGCGCTACCCTCGCGATTATTTATTTTTTATTTAATTGTATAGAGTTACTTGCCACGTTGACATTCTGTTTCACTGCGCGCGAGTTCGCGTTACGCGACAGGAAACGTAGGTTCGGTTTCTTGACGCGTCTCTTCTAAAGAGACATTTTTCGGTCGAATAGCGTTCGAGTGCTTTGTATCGGGTCCGATTCGAACCCTGAGAATACATTCGAGAATTCACACCCGAAGCTTGGATTCGGAACTGATTTTGTTTGGACGGATCAAATACGAAAATTTAGCATTTTTAATCGTGAAATTCGGGTCGCGGAATTCTTTTTATACGACTGAGGTCCTCACGAGCAAACCTCGATACTTGTAGTATATTTTGCAGGAGAGTATTAATTACAAATAAGACTTAAGACGTTCTGAATCACATTGGTGTTATGGTGTCGCAGGATCCTGATGAAAGGTAAATTACAAACAAAGGGAGGAAATAAAATTAAACGGAATGAAATTTCACGCCGCGCGTTTTCTCTTATTTGCCGTTGCTCTCGCGTTGGTCTAATGTTGTCTTGTGCAATTACATAGACACTCGTGTGTACACTTCGTTAATTAAAAAGTTTTAATCACTATACACGCACGTAACTTTCGTGTGATTTGTTAAAATGTTAGATTACTTAAAAATTTCTATGTATCGTACTGCTCCACATTCTCCGAAACTATTGTTGGCTCCGTCTTGTAACACTTCCAGCGATAAAAACACGACGTTCGGCTACGTGTGCAGCAGAAATAGAGACAGAAATAGTGTTCGAACAAATATTTTACTGCTTTCGATTCCAAGTTACCTAGACGCGTTGTAATTCGAAGGACAATACAAGTTACATAATATCACGAAGAAGTTGCGAATTTCGATTCGAACCATACAACAAATCAGTTCGCGATGAAAATTCGCGGGACACTTGTCGCTGCGACGTTCCTCGAACACCGCAATCCGATCGATTCCATCTACGGATGACACATACTTTCGTTTCTTTGCGTAACGTTTTAAAGGGGTGCTGTTCGACGGAGAATACGAATTTTATCGAAAAAAAAAAGAACGATCAATAACGACCAATTTTGTCGAATACTCGTAACGAATGAAAAATTTCCCAGAGCTTCACGGTATCAAAACACTCTACGAACCGCGTAGTTTCGTTCCACTCTTATTCGAGACAATACAAAAAAATTGTTTCAGACGAATTATTCACGAGAGGAGAACGATCGTTTTCACGATCAGCCGATCAGCACGGTTTGCAAAAAGCGTCGCGAAGGTACTCTCGCGAGATATTTTCCCGCGCAAAGGAGCTCGAGTTGCGGATTAATTCATTCTCGATTCCTCTTTCCGCCCTAGCCCGCGTTGTACGCTCCCCGAAGCACCACTTTAAGTACTTAAAATAAAGAAAAAAAAGAAAATTGAGAAAGGAGGGCTCTGTCTTGCCCTCTCGCTTTTATAGAAATAAAGCAAAAAAAAAAAAAAAAAAAAAATGGCATGCATGATGGCGTGCAACGAGAGGACTTACGCCGAAGTACCGCGATCGATAAGCAGCACGTTGTAGTCAAGAGTCCCCTAACGCGCGCACTTTTCCTGAATTCCATTAGCATCGAGGAAAACGCCTCGACAAAGCGTCGAGGAATCGGCGAGGCCTGCCGAACGATCGCGTCCAGTTGGTAAAAAAACAAATTTCACGGGGAAATACACGTTTTGATTCGCGGAACAATTCGTCTCGCGGTCGTCAATTAAAATCCAAGCTCAGCATTATTCGCGAATAGATTTCGCGCGCCGACCGCTCGGACTAAATCGGCGACCGGCTGTCGATGATGAAGCTCTCTCCCTAGCGTAGAATTAAAGAAGAGAAGAAAAAAAAAAAAAACCTCACGTAGTCGACTAATCGGTAATAATAAACGCGTAGCCACGTTTTACAATTTAATACTACGATAACTCGTAAGTGTCATAGGGGATCTGTATGTGTAGAGACCGTAGGGCAATCGAACGACTTATCTTGCCACGAGGAAAACGCTTTAGGCGCTAAACGAGGTCCGTTCCTTTCGGCCATCGTCGTAACTCGTCGAACTGCGAATCGTCGCTTCGAAGTACTTTCCGTTCCGGTTGTTCCGTTCTCATTTTCCTTTCTTTCGAGATTTCGTTTCTCCTTTTTTCTTATCTAGGCGAACGGTACTCATCGAATCAGCATACACACACAGAGACAGGAAATATACCGGTACTCGTAAGGTAGGAAAACACTGAAATATATTCGGGAACGTGGTAATCGACCGACGGTTCGAAGAGAGAGAAACGAACAACGGGGACGAACGCTCTCGAGAATAGGTTCGAACGAGAAACCCGCCGCTGCTTTTCTTTCCCTCGAATTTCTCCGCTGCGTGTACGTAACCGTACGATCCGCCGCGGGATAAGCGATGATTTATCATCGACGAAGGAACTCGTTATAATCGGCCGCGCGAGAGGCAACGACGAAAAGTCGTTCCGTGACTTCTCTTCCGCGGGGCCGCGATGTCGACGCTGATTTCAGTCACGGCGACGCCGTTGTCACGACTAGGGGGGATGGGGTGTGTGGGTGGTGATAGGAACCTGCCGGTGATATGACCAGAACAATCAAGCAAAGTGTCACAAAGTAAATGTCATTTATGCTGGAGTAATTACGTTAGGTACAATAGGGAACGGAGTATTACGCATTTATACTGATCGATCCGTGCATCGTACGTTCTATAGCCGGACTCGTTTTCGCGCCGAGGATCCTGGCGCCCATCCGGGCCTTCCCCGAGACATTCGAACACGCATTGTACAAAAAAAAAAAAGAGGAGACTCGCGTTCGAAGATCGAAAGAGAGAAAAACAACGAGCAGTACCTGAACGCGGGAGGACTGCGAACGTCGCGGGACGAGATCGATATCTCGAAATACCGTCGATTAGCTCGCGGTGGGTATTCAGCGACACGCGTGTGTGCCCATTAGAGGCGCGTGGGATGGTAAATATCGGGGATCCGTTCGAAATAACCGCGACTCGTAGAGGGATGGTGTTTAACGGGAACACGGCGGGGGGCCAGGTGATCCGGGGAATGTACGTACTGTATTTAGGAAAGATTAGAGAACGATGCACCGTTGACCCGTTAGCCGATATGGGTCGCGGGTAGAGGCATAAATGCGAGTGGGTAAAGGAATCGAGCGAATATAGCGTGTGCGTGTACATAGGTACCCCTGTATATAGGTTTTAGATTTAAATTACGTCCCGGACTCTTTATAGGCACCTACACTCGGAATTCAGGTAGCTCGCTAAATAGTATCTTGTATCTTTATAATTTACGTGTAACCGTGTTTAAAAAGAAAATATATAAAAGGAAAAAAAATGAATTAATAAAGAAAAAACTGTAGCGACGTGCACGGGCGCGCGTTACGCGAATAAACGCGCGCACGCGGACGTGTCGTACGCATACCTACCAGGCGCCCTGTCCTTCCATACCGCTCTTAGATTTATACCTAATTTACACTGGATATTAACGTCTAAACGCTACACTATCATCTACACTGTAACAAATTGTATTATATTTTATATATATAAATATGTAAATGTTTTTCTAAAACTGCGTGTTTGTCCCTTTTCTCCTCCACTCTTCTCAAAGCTTTATATGGTGTTACGTACAAGTAGAGAACTCCATTTGGGAGTTGGGGATAGAGGAAATCGAATTTGTCAAAATTACAAGTTTGTAGTGTTACGAGAAATATAGTTTTCTAGGATATTCGCTTACTAGCATTAGGTTGGAATTGATAAAAGCACAGGTGGCAAAATGGTTGCTAGCGGGAGACTGCTATCGTAGATGGTACATCGAGAGACAAGTGGGTTTCTAACCGATGTACTCCTAAAACAGGCATGTCAAACGCATTTTAGCTCGGGGGCTATTGTGCACTTTACCGCCATGTTGCAGGCCGTAGACGTACCGTTTGACAGCAATGTCTCTCGATGTAGTACGTAAATAACGATTAATTATCGGCCTCGAACAAGCTACTTACATCAAACCATATTCAGAAGAAAAATAATAGAGTCCTATAAACATGTATATTTTATTATTTTATAATAAATATAATCGTTGGAGCATTTGCATCGTTGCACCGGTGAAACGAAGCATTTCAAGGTAAGTACAATTCCCTGTTCTTTGTTAAGCTGGCTTTGTCGTAGTTTTAGAATACATTACGAGGGCTTCGTTAAAGTTTGAACGTTTCAGAAATAATTTTAGATTTTCATCGCGTTACCGGAATTATTTAGTTCTATTATCTTGAAAATATCTGATTGGTAATGTAGGAGTCGAGCGTTATTCGTCGAATCGCATCGATCGCGACAAACTCTCTTCGAGCTCTGTTCTCACCGAAGCAACACAAATCTAAACTTTTCGAAACTCGACCAAGAATATTCGAGGGGTCTCTGTCGCGTAACAAGTTTCGAAGATACGCGAGACAGAGTGCGCGATACCAAGTCGAAACGTTTAAACCGCCGGTAACTCAGAAACGGACGTTCTAGGACGATCGAACGGCTACGGACGGCCAATAAAATTACCATGACCAGTCGCAACAAATCAGCCACGCGGCATCGAACGCGACACAACTAATTACGGGCGCGTATATTAGTTGCAGACAGACCGTACGAAACCACGGCTGCTTGGAACTGTTCGGCCGGTGTTGCTGGCAGTTTCAATTGCCGGCCCCGATCCGGCCCGTCAGATTACAACGTGGATTTACCAAGGCGTCCAACTCCCGATCCATTAATGAACAAGTTCCCGGGCTAAGTTCGCTAATATTCTGCTTGCACGAGCCGCCGACTAATCAAACTTCCGGCCCTCGTCGACGTTACCCTTAACGAGACACGCGGTTCTCTTCTTTTCTTTCGCTGCCGGATGCGTCCGGGCCGCCTGAATTTCCTAATTGCGAACGTCCTCGGGGCGTTCCTCCTCCAGGAAGTTTCGGGACCGCGAGCGGATGTTACGAGGTACGCTACGCGATCCAGAAAACGACGCTGTTAATCGCCAGAATTTTCTCCGGGCAAATAAAATCTTCACGATTTGTCAGCACCGGAGACTGAGGGAACAGTTCTATTTCAGTAGCCATTAGCGACCACTCAAAGTCACATTTTTAACATCTGCTCTATTTACCGTATGTTCGTTTCTGATTTCACAATTATCAGGAGACTTTAGGATCGTTGGAGACCTTAAATAAAATTTTTATTATAGAGCACGGTTCTTCGTTGTAGTGTTTTTCTCACTTTACGGGGTTAAGGAATAACTTATCGAATATTTTTGGAATTTCTACATATTCTTGACTAAAATACGCGTTGATTGCTTTTTGAAAAATGAAAATCCTTCAATCCGTTCGGGAGTTATGATTTTTTAAAGATATGCATGAAATTTCAGGGGAACAAATCGACGGTATGGTCAGACATTGTATTTTCGGTAAAGAATTTTTTTCTCGAAAGTGCGTAGGATTTCGGGGGTATGTCTGTTGACCAAAAATGATTGTAACTGACCCCCGTAGCCGAAAATAATTTTTTCAGGACGATTTGAAATTTTTAAAATCTACCCCCTTTCTTAAAAATTTTTAATAATTTTGTGTGACGCCCTACAGAAAAATTGTCTAATACTTTTTTTTAGGTACCCATGAGCTCCGTTTCAGAAAATAGATTCATTGAAATATATTCACTGTAGTAGAAGTTATGGCTGTTTAAAAATTAGACCATTTCTATGGAGTTTTTCACACTTTACGGGGTTCCAGAACGATTTGTAGGAGACAATTATTAGGAAAGTTTAGGTGTCTTGGAGATCTTAAATAAAATTTTTATTATAGATCATAATTCTTTCGAGTTGGACTTGGATCTTTAACATGTTAATTCCCAGGACCAAACATTGATTTTTGGCAATGGTAAACTGCTTAAAGTTTGTCTGGATACTTATTTTAACTCTAAAGTGTTAACTGGTGATATCTCCGAAACGAAGTTGGAAATCGTAGAATGGGGCTTTTCAATTTCTTCGAACGCTTTGCATAAAGAGATCGTTGGTTAAAGGTTGCCAAACACCTTCGATTTCCGTTTGAAAATTCCAAGCAATCACGGCCAGTCGGTTACAGTCGGATGCAGTCGAACATGCACTCGGCAGCCGTGCAATAACGAGAGCACAATGCAACGTTTCTGGAATCAATCTGGGTCCCGCGGCGTGTTCTCAGTCCCCGTCTCTTTGCAGTTCGCCGTGTCCGTCGGTTATCGAGTTTATGTAAAGTGCGCCTGGCATTATTACTTTTCCCAGCGCGAAGTTAATTCAGAGAGCCGAAGGCAATATTCCGACGCCGTAACTGCGCTACACTCCCCCCCATCAGACGCGAATCGCCTCTCGAACGGGGGAAACGTTCGATTGTCAGGGAATGTCACTCCCCCGTAACGTTTGTTACCAGCCCTGAATGGCCTGGACGTAGCGATCGGTAAACAAAACGTCTCGAGAACGAGCGCTAAGGAAAGCTTAATGAAGCAATTTTCGTTCGACGAGGGTGCGACAGGCGTCGTTCTGCCTTGTATCGGTCAGCTAGGCGCGATCTGAGAGATGCTTCGTCGTAAAAGTAGACAAGGGATAGTCTATCGTATTTTCGAGCAGCCTACACTTTCGGATCAAAGTGATTTTAGACGCCTCGGATGATCCGATGTACGAAAAACTTGGGTTTTTAACAAAATTAAAGTACATCGATTGTGGTTAGTCTCTCTTGGCCGCCATTGTAAAATATCTGTGTCGACTACGGTATTCAGAGGGAAACAATTGTACTTGTATTTCTGTAGTTTAGTGCCCTAAGGGCTCGAGAGATCGCGAGGAAGGGGAGCCAGGGGAGCAAATGAAAGATAAACTGAGTTTTGTCCTAAGGTGTACAAGTTAGCCAATTCGTTCGCGGAGAGACTTAAGAGACCTTGTTTTAGAAACAACATTCCACGGACGCGGAAGAATTTGCCCGTTAAAACAGAGCAGGATGTATTTGAGTTTGAAAGTCATTTAAATAAAAAAGAGAGAGACGATAGTACGAGCAGAAATGGTCAAAATTTTAAACTCTGTCACACAATCAGGAGAAACGATGCTCTCCAACCTTGCATAGCGTTAATTGGCATTTCTACTTATTTTTTTACGGACAAGTTGCACGTTTGTTCAGCGAATTCTAATTTTAAGTGGCTGCCGGAAGATTTTCACGGCGAGTACGCTTCGAACGGTAGAACAATTTTCATCGGCGAGAGAAATCGGATACGTTGGGAAACCTCGTGCGACGTTGGTAAACGGAGAGGCGCGAGCACCGATAGAATCATCGGAGATTGATTAAAAATATAAAAGTGGGAAATTGATTTAGCCCAACGACGAGGATTCGAAATAGGTCGAACAATCTCGTCGTCGAATCTCTCGGTTGTCGTGGAACGTCAGAGCGGGTTCTATATAGGTTAAAAGTATATTTCCGTCTGAAATGTAAATGCCAAAGATGGATAAAAATATAATTGCAACGGGGAGGGGAAAAAAATCACCGCCCTCTGAACGTCTTCGATATTAATAACAAACCTATATAGAGATCGCCAAGTCGTATTCTCGGGTCTTACGTGAAGTTCCAAAGATGCATTTCCCATTAAAAATTAAAGAAACCCTACTTGCACTACTCGATAATTGTTTTTAATTTATTGAAGGACATCTAACTTGAAACAAAGAGAAACGTGATAAAAATTATGAAATAATTGAAGAAAAATATATTGACATGTTTAGAAACGAGGGATAGATCATTGAACCCCGGGAAGAAATTTTAATAGTACTGAATTTCAGTGGAGTATGATCCGATGATCGGTTTAAGTAGAAATATCGACGATTGGTCAGACGCGCCAGGCAAATCGTATTCAATCGCACGCGTTCGGCCAACTTTTTAAATTCAATTATCTCGAAAACGAAGCCTCGATCGAAAAAATGTTATTCCACTTTTTCGACTTATTTTTACACGCAGAAACAATCCAGCCCGGTTATATCAACCGTTCCCTTCGATATCCAATTGGCACGAGCATGATCGATTATTGTACGGAAAATCGGTTTCTTTTCAATACGTACGGATATTTTAATTGAAATTTCCCTTCCACCTCTGATCGCCGACAAAATGAATAGATTATTCTGCGAAATTTCGAAATCTATTCCGCTCCATTTTATTAACTAACGAAATATTGACTTGTCTGGAGTATAAGGTTTTAGTTTCCAAATATTTTAAAAAAGACGTTTAAAAAATTTCTCAACATTCCACGAGGCCAAGTATATTCGTACGAGGGTACTAAATGGACTATCTACAGTTATAGTTAGGGTCACCCTTATTGTAAATATGAATCTTCCGCCCTGCCAAGGGTTACGATCCCCGGGGGAGCTGATCCGTAGACTGTTTCTGTAAGAGTGACCCGGGAGCAAATTCTTTACTGCCAAATACGGTTTAGAGGGTCTGTCCTAACCCGTTTCTTCGATGGCTCGGAAACGAAGAGAGAAAGCTATT